ACTCTTCTCCTACTCCTTCTTCCCTTCTTCTTCCTCTTCTTCTTGAGACAGGGTCTTGCTTGTTGCTTGGGCCAGCGTGCAGTGGCGGCGTCGTAGGTCACTGCAACCTCAAATTCCTGGGCTCAAGTGATCTTCCTGCCTCAGCCTCCTGAGTAGCTAGGACTATAGGTGTGTGCCATCATACCCAAGTAATTTTTTGTAGAGACAGGGTCTCACTCTTGCTCAGGCTGGCCAGATTTACAGTCATCAATCACAAAGGACCTCACAGCTTTCTGTCATTCCTGTGCCCCAAACTCAGTTCTATTCTGCATCAATGTCTATTCTGCTGGCCAAAGAGATACAGTCTTAACTCTGCTTGTTCTTATTCAAAGAGCTTAAAAAACAGAAGGGTTGGAGTGGGCTCCTGAAAGGAGCCAGAGGTGAGCCATAGGTCTATTCTCTTCTTTGGCTTTCACCAGCTCGCAACATTTGTCCCACTTTCTCAAAAAAGCAATAAGCACAAGTTTCATCACGATTACATGCAATTATACAAGACAATATTAAGAAGAACAAAAGGGCTCTTGTTGTCCTCAGAGTCACTGTCCACTCAGAGGAAATTAGCTCTGATTATTACAATGATAAAGGCTTATTGGATAATGTCCTATATATAGCGCCATCAAATGTGATATATTCATTTCAGATCAATGCTTTAAACAAACTCACTAATAAAAAATGTTCTCTTTTCCAAATAATAAATGTTACTTTAGTAAGCCATACACAGGGATCTTTATAAGATGATAAAATTCTCTCTACTAAATTCTCCAATACAAACCTCCAGATAATTTTAACAGTCTAAAATGTGTTACTGTTTACGGGGCATGTGCTTAGAATGCTGAAACTCGGATTCTTCTTTCATTTTTATGGAAGGATTATGTACCTACCTTTAGAACGCGTTATGAGATTTTCAATATTATTGTTCCGCTTTATCTTCAGAGGTAGATCTCATGACCTACGCTAACTTCGCTTGTATAGCTTTTTGTATCTAGCGCTAGTAGCAAATAAACAATATCACACATGATCATTTTTTAAACTATATAAAGAAAATAATAGGATCAATTTTATCAATTATTATTAAGTTGAGAAAAGAAAGGAAGAAGAAAGAAAGGCAAGTGAGAGAAGGAAAGAAGAAAGGAAGCAAAAGAAGAAGATAAAACAAAGAAAAATGGCTTGCAAACAATATATACCCAATAAATAATTTCCTCTTAAAACAGAAGTCTATGTGAATATGGTACAAGATATAGCTGTTTAAATTTCATAGAGTAAAATACAAAGTTACGTAATGTGACAAGTGTTGCTACAACATTCAGGGCCACAGCATAACCATAGGTGTCTGTGCTGGTGAATCTTGTGTGCTCATATTTGTCTCCTTATTCTATTGGTGGAATAATAATTAGTGAATTAAATAGATACACTAATAATCATAATTTACAAGAAAAATTGTTCATGCATATTAGCTAGTAATAGAACTATGCCCTTTCCCTAATCATTCAGTCATAAACGCAGTCTTCGTAACTGAGTCCAGTCTAAGTGATGACAATCGTCATCCCTTTGCAATGATACTCAAGGTGTAGTGTGTTCTCTTATTGGGAGTATGTATGTCTACACAGATACTCAAGAATATACAAAAGAGGTCGATAGACCAAGTCTTGAGCATTTTGAATATAGAGTTTCCATATATCTGCTTACTTCTACAAGGAAACTAAACATATATGAAACCAATAAGTAGAAGCACAAGAAGATTATCCATATTCTAAATTCAAAAGGCAATAAACATGATGACCGCAAGATAGAGAACTAAATTTTTATTAGGAATAACTTATTAAGACAATGTATGGAGTAACTTCCTCCCTCACATAGTGGTTTGAGGAGGACTTTTATCGTGCGCCGCCAAACCTGTGAAAATATTGTATATTTAAATGAATAAGTTACTGTACAACAATTATCTTGATAGAGCATACAGGGCTCCTGGACGTAGCAAAAGTGATGGTCAGACGACCTGAATCCTTAGACCTCTGGATGCTATTTCGTCACAAAAAGTGTGTCGAGAAATGTAAAGAGGCGTATTTACTTGGTCTCAAAGTCTCAGGATGTGTTCAAAGTAAACCATGTATACTGGGTAGTAGATGCGACGTTCTCTAAACCATTTAAAATAGAAAGTACATTAGAAATATGCCAATAATAGGTTAAAAATAATAAAATATATTGAAATTAACATAAAAATCAGTTCGATGTACAACACATCATGGGTGGCACTTAATGGAGTCCTGCTCAGTCTCGCAGTTCCATACCTTACTGCTTTTAAAGGTCTTAAGTTGCGCGCTGGTACTGGTATCAGCATGGATATAGGAGTGCTAGAAGCCTTCAGGATGTATTAGATTGCTGTGGAGCAGAGAGCTGACTTATGGTCGCACATCACTTAGCCTGGGCAGTAGATAGAATCAGTGTCTCACAGAAATACAATAAATATAAAATATTTTCTGATATTAAAATTATTATATAGTCGTATCTACTGGAATAATAAGTGGAACAAGAACATCCCATTGTCTATTTAGGATTGGTAGATCTATAATAGCTAAAGCTCTCTCGCGCCTATTGTTTCGCTATAGAAAGGCTTTTCTCGAATGAGTTTAAGATGATCTGATACCATTTACCGCGAATGTGGGAATAGGCTCTACAGATGTTTATCGCAAAAGTCGGAATTCCATATCATAATATATCACCATTACTTAAGTCGATTATAGTGGATGGTGTTAGTGTGAAGTATGCGCGTTAATGTCAAGGATATGTTCGTTTAGGATTTTAAGGTCTTCCACACAGTATATGATACTTCAATACACTCTATGATTCCAGAATTTTTGATCAGAAATACATGTGGTAATTATAATGCATACAACAGCTCCACACCGTGTCTATGGTTGTAGAAGTAAATAGAAATAATTAACTGGAGTAGGAAAGGTTGATCCCATTGTGTGTATGTGTGCATTTATGTGGAGGACAGAGGAGAAATGATAGAAAAACTCCCATCCCCATGCTTAAGATATTTCATCCCTAGTGCAGGTCATGCTAGACCTGAATAGCCAAACTATTCCCGCAATAAGAACGCAAATGGAGCTATAGTACCTCCACCTTCAGAGGATGTTCATATAGTACTTGATGTCATTTTAAAAATTAGTTTGTACGGTGGACACAGGCGGTTTGGTAGCTTCTAAACTACTCGAGTCGCCTCTTGTAAATACGCCGAGCACTCTGAGGCCAAGGCGGCAGACAATTGCTCGAGGTCAGAGTATTGAAACCAGTCCTAGAAGATTGAGCGCACCAGAGATCGCGCGGGGTAAAACAGTAATATAGATCATGAGACGAAATTAGACTCTGACCAACTGTTGGAAGAGCACAGGTAAAAATATATAGTACAAAAAATGCAGCCAGCATAAACGGTCCGCAATGCTGTAGTACCAGCTAATCGGGGAGGCTGAGACAGCAGGATTCTGAGCCCAGGAGTTTTGAGTTGGCTGTTGAGCTAGCACTCAAACTGTAGCCTGGGCAAGAAAGTAAACTCTCTCAAAAAAACAAAAAACAAAAACAACAACAAACCTTACTACACAGCTATTGTACAGCATGACGCAGAAAGACTTATAACCAATGGATAAAAGTAGATGAGAAATAATCCGTGTGATTATTTATGGTTAAATTGATTTCACATAAGAATGCCATGATATTCAAGGTAAAGTGTAGTTTTTTTCAACAGATGGTCTTCAGGAACAACTGGAGTCGCCACATGCAGAAAGATGTCCACAGAAAAAAGAATGAAAGTTGGACTCAAACACCTCAGACTACGGTCATTAATATAACATGGTCTGATTCGAATCCAAAAAGTTTATTTATACATCTCAAACAGACGGCAGTACAAATTAACCAATATGCACTAAACTATTATTACCGAGTTTTGCATCTTAAAGGACCTGTGCTCTATGCCGCAGTGAAACCTGATAGAAGGTGAGAATCGAAATACTCTCGAGCGTAGCAAGTAAGGTCAATTAGCGAGGGGTAGTATTCTCTTACTTCAGCTTGATTTCATGTAATTATACAAACTTATCTTTCCTCCTTCTGATCGCAAACGAGTATTGTGCTACACTGAAGCCTGATAATACCGTTGAAAGTATGGAGTGATAGTGTATCAGTTGACCTTTCTCTTCCTCTCTGATAAATGCTTGCTGGTCCATTGTGTCCACGTTCGTTGTATCAAAGATTCAGCTGAAATCACTTTCCCCCAAGCCTAAACCCTGTTTGAAAATGTTTTATCCACTTCCTGCCTCCCTTGCACAGGTTTGCGCACATTCTTCGCTGGTGGTGATATCATGGGATATGATGTCCATAGTCCCTGTGACTTTGTAGTTTGAGCAGATGTTTTGATGCGAGCATGGTGTGGCATTATATAATCTCTTCTGGTTTAGGATTATACTTCTTTACTTACGAGCGTTGTGCAGACTTTGGTCGTGCTTAGCACTTTTATATCTCTATCGTATCATGTTGCGTGCCGCTTGACCGTAAATCCATCGGCACTTTCACTATACAGTCATTTGCTACTATCTATCGTCCACACTCTTGGTACCTTCCAATTTTGATACCAGGATGTAATGTGCTTTCCTTTTTGAGGATAACTTTATATTCAAGGCCTACAGCTGACATTTATGACTCAAAATGCTACAAGACTAACAATGAACAATGTGAAAAGGAAATTAAAACAATTTCACTTAACAATAGCACCAAAAAGAATAAATACTTAGGAATTAACTTAAGGAGGTAAAAGACTTATATAATGAAAAGTACAAAACATTTCTGAAAGAAATTAGAGACATAAATAAGTGAAAAGACATCCCATGTTCATAGATTGGAAGACTTAATATTAAGATGTCAATACTACCCAAAGCAATCTACAGATTTAATGCAATCATTCCCTATCAAAATCCCAATTACTAAGGACTATGTGAGGTAATTCATATGTTAGTTAGATTTAGTCATTCCACAACAGATATATACTTCAAAACATCATGTTGTACATAGTAAATATATACAAGTTTACCTGTCATTGTTAAAGTAAAAGAAAAAAAAAAATCCCAGTGACCATTTTTGCGGAAACAGAAAAACCCACCCCAAAATTCACATGGCATCTCTAGGGACCCTGAATAGCCAAACTATTCCCGCAAAAGAACAAAGCTAAAGGACTCACACTTCCTGATTTCAAAACTTACTACATAGGCCGGGCTTGGTGGCTCACGCCTGTAATCCTAGCACTCTGGGAGGCCAAGGTGGGCAGATTGCTCGAGGTCAGGAGTTTGAAACCAGCCTGAGTAAGCACGAGACCCCCGTCTCTACTATAAATAGAAAGAAATTAGTTGGCCAACTAATATATATACAAAAAATCAGCCGGGCATGGTGGTGCATGCCTGTAGTCCCAGCTACTCGGGAGGCTGAGGCAGCAGGATTGCTTGAGCTCAGGAGTTTGAGGTTGCTGTGAGCTAGGCACTCACTGTAGCCTGGGCAACAAAGTGAGACTCTCTCAAAAAAAAACCAAAAAAAACAACAAAAAACTTACTACACAGCTACAGTACAGCACTGACTGGCATAAAGACGTATAGACCAATGGAATAAAGTAGAGTTGAGAAATAAATCCCTGTGTATATGGTCAAATGATTTTCAACAAGAATGCCATGACTATTCAAAGGTAAAAGGGTAGTTTTTTCAACAGATGGTGCTAGGAAAACTGGATATCCACATGCAAAGATGTCCACAGGAAAAGAAATGAAGTTGGACTCTCACCTAATACTAAGGTCATTAAATATAAAATGTCTGATTTCAAATCAAAAGTTTAGTTTATTACATCTCAAACAAGAGGCAGTACAATTAACCAAAGTATGCACCTAAACTATTATTACAGTTTTGCCATCTTAAAGGTACCTTGCTTATGTCAGCAGTGAAGAGCCTGGAGAATGAGTGCAGATGAAATTGCAGGGGTGTTTTCTACAGCTTGTCAAGAATTAAATATTTTTCCCTGCAACGAGTGGTGCAAAGCCTGGAAGAAGTGGTAGTCAGTTGGTGCAAGGTCTGGTGAATTTGGTGGATGACAGAGTGTCCAAGTCCCCCTTCTGTAGTTTGAGCAGAGTTGTTTGTGCGACATGTGGTCGAGCGTTGTCTTGCAAGAGGATTGGCCTGTCTCTATTGACCAATCTCGGCTGCTTAACCACAAGCATTATTTCGTCCAATTGGTAACAGTAGACATCCACTGTAATCAATTGACCAGGTTTCATGAAGCTGTAGTGGATAATACCAGCAGTGGACCACCAACCAAACACCATTAGCTTTTTTTGATGACTATTCAGTTTTGGACTGTTTTGGCACTTCATCTTTATCCAGCCATTGTGAACACTTGCAATTGTCAAAAAGAATCCATTTTTTATTACACATAACTACATGGTGTAGAAATGGTTCACCTTTATGTCATGACAGCAAAGAAAGGCAAGCTTGAAGACAATTTCTCTTCTGATGCTTGTCTAACTCATGCACTACCCATCTATCCAGCTTCTTTACCTTGCTGATTTGTTTCAAACGGTCCAGTGTTGTTGGAACAGTAACGTCAAACCCTGCTGCTAATTCACATGTAGGTTGAGATGGATTCACTTCCATTACATCTTTCAGCTCATCATTATCCACCTTGGTCTCAGGTTGCCCACATGGCTCATTTTCAAGATTAAAATCACCAGAACTTCTCACACCATCAACATACTGTGCATTCATTAGCCACATCCTTCCCAAACATTTTGTTGGTATCTTGAGCTGTCTGCTCTGCATTGGCTCCACGATGGAACTTATGTTCAAAAATAACACAAATTTTTTACTTATGCATGATTTTAGAAAAATTATTTTTTAAAAAATATGAAAGATAATCACAAGCTAAAGATATGTTTAAAAGAATGAGGATGTACCTTTACAATAAAAATAAAACAAGAAGTGTCAAAGTGAAATGTCAGGGATATCAACTGTTAAATTTAGTACTTAAGGAAATCAGACATTTCATACTCAATAACCTAAATGTATACAAAAATCAACACAAAATGAATCCATGACCTAAATCTATAAAGTTCTTAGAAGAAAACACAGGGCAAAAGCTTCACAACATTGGATTTGGCAATGATTTCTTGGATGTGATACCAAAGGCACAGGCAACAGAAAAGATAGACAAATTGGACTTTATGAAATTTAAAATATCTTGTGCACCAAAAAACACTATCAACAGAGTGAAAAGGCAACTCACAGTATAGGAGAAAATATTTGCAAGTCATATGTCTGATAAGGGATTAACATCTGGAATATATAGAAAATTTCTAAAACTCAACAAAAAAAACCAAATCAAAAATGGGCAAAGTACGTGAATAGACATTTCTCCAAGAAAATATACAAATGGCCAATATGTGCATGAAAAGATGCTCAACATCACTGATCGCTAGGGAAATGCAAATCTAAACCAGTGAGATACTACCTCACAGCCATTAGGCTGGCAATTGTTTGAAAAACCAGAAATAGCCAATGTTGATGAGGATGTGGACAGATCGGAACTCTTTGCACTGCTGGTGGCAATGTAAAATAGTACAGCTGCTGTGGAAAATGGTATGGTGGTTCCACAAAACATTAAAAATAGAGCTACCACATGATTCAGCAATTCTGAGTATATACTTAGAATTGAAAGCAGAATCTCAAAGAGGTATTTGTACATACAAGTTCATAACAGCATTATTCACAATAGCTAAAATGTGGAAGCAACCTAAGTGGCTATTGACAAATACTTGAGTAAACAAAATGTGATATATACATACAATGGAATTCAGCTTGAGTATCCCTTATCCAAAATGCTTGGGACCAGAAGTGCTTTGGATTAAGGATGCTCAACCTGTATCATCTGCCTTCAAAAGGACATTATGCTAAGTGAAATAAGCCAATCACAGAAAGATAAATACTGTTATGATTCTACTTATATGAGGTAGAGGAGTCAAAATCATAGAGACATAAAGTAGAACGTGGTTGCCAGGGGTGGGTAGGAGGGGGTAGTTACTGTTTATGGGTAGAGTTTCACTTTTGCGAATGAAAGAGTTCTGGAGATGAATGGTGGTGATGGTTGCACGACAGTATGAACACATTTAACACCACATAACTGTGCACCTAAAAATGGCTAAAGTAGTAAATTTTACGTATTTTATGATAAAAAATTTGGGGAAAAAATGTTACAAGATATCTGAGGTTTCAATTATACTCTCAGCACTTAATTTTCTAAGCTTTACACTTTTTACATCTGGATTTTTCTTTTAAAAACATGTTTCTAGGCCTGCAGCCGGCGCTGTGCGGTGGCGCTGGCTCGGGCCCAAAAAAAAAAAAAATAAAAACATGTTTCTAATCATGTCAATTAGAAGTACTAATATACCACTGATATAAGATAGCAAATGAAAACAATGGCATTGCTTCTTCAAAATCAAATTACCTGAACTTGGCATTTTCTTAGCCTTAGACTTTGTGAAGTATCTCATACACAGTAAACTTTCATAAAATATTATTCCCTAGATGCTAATTTTTAAGAACAGATAGAGGCCTTTTTTCAAGTTAAAAAAATAAGTTGTTCTTTGTAATGAGACTGTTGAATAAAAAAACTTTTTGCACTGGTAAAAAAAAAAAAAATCTCATTATACAAAAGTATGATCCAAGAGAAAACAAGAACACATAGGTTGGAGCAATCCTTTATTTTTACACATTTGACAAAGGGGTTTTCAGTAAATCATCTTTCCAGTGAAGATTGGAGAACATGAAAATCAGCCTCCAGCCATCAGTTACCGCTCCGTTCAGGGCCTAGGCACCTCCTTGCCCATGTGGTGAGGTGGAGGGGTGTACTTCCCTTCCTTTATTAGCTTATCCCGCTGCTTCTGGATGGTACACATACGTTTTATCTGTCAAAGGAAAAAAGCATTTAAACCAGGGGAAGATATGCACCAGAAAGTGAGAACTGGAGAAACTGAGCTAGATTTTGGTTTCACTTTTAAATCTAGGGAAGGCTTTTCATCCCAGAAGGCCTCCGAGATGAAGTCCATCTTTAAAGAATTAACTTGAGGCTGGGCACAGTGGCTCACGCGCCTGTAATCCTAGCACTCTGGGAGGCTGAGGTGGGAGGACTGCTTGAGGTTGGGAGTTCTAGACCAGGCTGAACATGAGCAAGACCCCATCTTAACTAAAAATACAAAAAATTAGCCAGTAAACTAAAACTAGAATTCAAAAATTAGCTGGGTGTGGTGGCTCGTGTAGCCCCAGCTGGGCTCAGTAGTCCCAGCTACATGGGAGGCTGAGGCAGGAAGACCACTTGAACCCGGGAGTTTGAGGCTGCTGTGAGCTAGGCTGACGTCACGGCACTCACTCTACCCTGGGCAACAAATTGAGACTCTGTCTCAAAAAAAAAGAAAAGAAAAAAAAGAAATTAACTTCCCAAACTTTTTAATAAATAAATTAACTTCTGGTATATATAATACCTCTTTGAAGACCAATAGCTAAAATGTTCTTAATATACACATATGAATATAGATATTTTTAAAAACCCTTAAGATGCATATTTGTGTATACTAAAATCTTTCAAAATATTAAAAGATCATCTCAGAATTTATATATTCCTGACTGCTCTATGTGAAAGTGGCACTACTGTATGTCAAATCTTTCTCTGAAGTAAAGGCAACAACCATTTAGCGTTCTGAATAAAAGCAGAGGCTCTGGAGCCAGACTTGTCAGGTTCAAATCTCAGCTCCACCACTATTACTACATGAGTTTAGAAACGTCCTTAAATTTTCCTTGACTCAAATTTTTTTGTTTTTGAAATTCGGTCTTACTCTGTCTCCGAGCCTGGAGTGCAGTGCTGTAATCATAGCTCACTGCAACCTCCAACTCCTGGGTTCAAGTGATCCTCCTGCCCCTAGCCTCCCGAGTAGCTGGACTATAGGTACATGCCACCACGGTTGGCTAATGTTTTTATTTTTTGCAGAGACAGAGTCTCACTATGTTGCCCACGCTGGTCTTGAACTCCTGGCCTCAAGTGATCCTCCAATCCTCCCACCCTCCCTCCTGTGCTGGGATTACAGGTGTAAGCTACCACGCCTGGCCCAAATTATTAACTGCATAGTGGGGAAAATAACAGTAACTCATCTCACAGCATTGTCATAAGAAATAAATGCATTATTATCTGCTGAGAACTTAGAACAGTGCTTGATTCTAACTTCCTGATTCACTAGCTTTTTCACCTATAGGGAGGTGTCTAGTCATTTAGGGTGACCTCTAAAATGGTAACTTATCTATTCATAAATTCACAGGATTAGGAAGTGACCTTAAAGTAACTCTTAAATTTTTCTACAGAAGGAAACCAAGACCAGATAGGAAAGTGATTGTCCAAAGTCACAAAACTAGTGGTGGCAGAACTAGCATCTGAACCCAGTTGTCCTAATCCAAGGTTCTTCCCACCTTACTACACTGTATCCTCTTGGTGTAAATTTTTCAAGATTAGGTAAAATCTTAATCTGAGCAATAAATGACTGAGGACCGGAAGAAAATAAGGTAATATGTATTGTGAACTAAATGGCTGGAAGATGGCTAACTATGACTCAACCGTTGTTCCTAATGATCAGTATTCCTACAGAGATCAAGGCAAAATTATTACCTGACACTTCCTCATTCCTTCCAAGTTTGGCTTCATTTTATCCAAATGCCAACAGCAGATGTTAAGAGGTAAAACATTTTTACATTTTGATCTAGATAACTTTGCCATAAATTTAACTGAAAATCTAAATTATCTCCTCAAACTTCAAGAAGTTGAGAATAATAAAAATATTTCTATTTGTTATATCTGGAGCACAGAAAAAAGGCAAAATGACAGCCTATACCCAGAGATTTCTTCTCTAAGGGAGAATAGGACCCTATATGTTACACTACTCATTCAACTTTTGAGGAGGTGGATACCATGCTGCTAACATCCCCCCCCCCCTTTTTGAGATAGAGTCTCACTTTGTTGTCTGGGCTAGAGTGCCATGGGGTCACCCTAGCTCACAGCAACCTCAAACTCTTGGGCTCAAGCAATCCTTCTGCTTTAGCCTCCTGAGTAGCTGGGACTACAGGCATGTACCACCATTCCCAGCTAATTTTTTCTATATATTTTTAGTTGGCTACTTAATTTCTTTCTATTTTTAATAGAGACAGGGTCTCACTCTTGCTCAGGCTGGTCTTGAACTCCTGACCTTGAGCCCACCTCTGCCTCCCATAGTGCTAAGATTACAGGCATGAGCCACTGCGCCAGGGGCCAATATCCTTTCTTTCCTTGCATCTTTGGTCAGGCTCAGCTATAGCAATCTCATTAACATCTCTATCTTCCTAAGTAGAAATGAATCTAGAGATTGTTATATCATGTTCAATGTAATAGATCTGTAGGGTTAAACCTCTTCTCCAATGGGGGTTCGATGAATTTGAAATATTTTCACCCCAAAATTTTCAAGTACAAAACATCCAAATAGTTGATATTCTTTGCTCTATAGCCTACTGAAAAAAATGGAAATATGCACACATGAATTTCTAATCCAGTGGCTACACCAGGGTACAATGTGAAGGAAAATTTGGAAGAGGAACAACATGGGAAACAATGGGCCATCCTCAGATCTGAAGGCATTTAACTTCTCTGTCACCACAAAAGCTCTGCCAATTCACATTGGGCAGCCACTGTCAAATGACCAATTAAAAACTCTTAACATTAACCTAAAAGAAACAAGGAAGTAATTCAGCTTCCACTTCCATCACTTTCTCACCGTTTTTTGCCGAAGTAGACATTCAACAAGATCATCATGCTCTATCTTGCACTCTTTCTCTGCCCGGATAGCACCAATTCCATGTGCACATTCTATCCATTCTTTTTCAAAAGCATGGCATCGAGCAGGCAACTTGAGGGGCTGTTCACCACTTTGGATTGCCATCGTACGATCTATGTTAAGGCCCAGCCTTTTCTGTATATCGAAGAAAGGCATGGCTGTAATGGAGGATAGAAAAATAAATAAATAAATAAATAAAAGGCAGGTGCGGTGGCTCATGCCTAAAATCCTAGCACTCTGGGAGGCCGAGGCGGGCGGATCGCTCAAGGTCAGCAGTTCAAGACCAGCCTGAGCAAGAGCGAGACCCGTCTCTACTCTAAATAGAAAGAAATTAATTGGCCAACTAATATGTATAGAAAAAATTAGCCGGGCATGGTGGCGCATGCCTGTAGTCCCAGCTACTCGGAAGGCTGAGGCAGGAGGGTTGCTTGAGCCCAGGAGTTTGAAGTTGCTGTGAGCTAGGCTGATGCCACAGCACTCTAGCCCAGGCAACACAGCGAGGCTCTTGTCTCAAAAAAAAAAAAAAAAAAAATTTAAAAATCACCCCAAATTGCCACAGACAACCATAATTATAATAAAATAACATTAAAAAAAATGAAATAATCATGGAAAACAGCCCTTTAGAGAGCTGTGTGATACTACTCTCTCAATTTCTTACCAAACTTTTTCATTAAACAGCTTCTTCCAGTTATGGTAGATGACCAATGTTTGTGCTTTCACAAAACTCAAGGAAAAGAGAAATAGACCTAAAGAACAAGGCATAAAATTCTCTCTATACTGATAAAGTCATTTTTATCAAAAGACAAAAAGAGGCAGGGTGTGGTGGCTCACGCCTGTAATCCTAGCACTCTGGGAGGCCAAGGCAGGCGGATTGCTCAAGGTCAGGAGTTCGAAACTAGCCTGAGCAAGAGCGAGACCCTGTCTCTACTATAAATAGAAAGAAATTAATTGGCCAACTAATATATATAGAAAAAATTAGCTGGGCATGGCGATGCATGCCTGTAGTCCCAGCTACTTGGGAGGCCTGAGACAGAAGGATTGCTTGAGCCCAGGAGTTTGAGGTTGCTGTGAGCTAGGCACTCACTCTAGCGTGGGCAACAAAGTGAGACTCTGTCTCAAAAAATAAATAAAAATAAAATAAAGGTCAAAAAGAGTGTCTATGTTTTGATTCAATAATCTCAAATCTTTGAAACAGAGCTGAAGAAAATAACTGAAAAGAACAAAAAGCACAAGCACAAAACATTTCTCTACATTTTTCCATCCATTCTTTCCATATGAACTTGGATGACATTTCTCTCGAGAAACCCTCCTGAATTTGGTGATCCTCTCTAGGGCACCTTCAACTTTGATAGGAATATTTTGCACATCACTGTAATGGGCTATTTACTTGTATGTCTCCCATGTTGGGCAATGAATGCTTTGGGGGCAGGGACCAAGTAGGAGCTAGGTAACTGCTAAGAAAATGAATTACAAATAACTTAAATGTGTAAAAATAAGGAAATGGTAATTAAATTCTGGTATCCACTTAGCAGAATATGACAGACATTGGGAAAAAAGGATAATAAACATGGCAAATACATAATAATGTATGTATTTCATGTAAAATGAAAAAAAGAGACTAGAATAATACCAAAGAAAAACTGTCTTCATTATAAGACTGGGAAATCCGTGCTATTGCACTCCAGTGAGACCCTGTCTCTCTTTAAAAATAAATAAATACTTAAAAATTAAAAAAAAAAGAAGACTGGAAAGAAGTGCACACACAGAAGTCAATTTGTGTATGCACTATTGGTGAATTTAAAGGTTTAAAGGTGAATTTAATTTCTAAAGTTTCTTCCCATTCTTTCAGTCATTCACTGAGTAACTACATTCCAGGCATTGAGATTGGAGTAAAAAGCAGCTCCAACATAAGCACTACAGATACACACGGGAAATTGGGAACCCAATGTAAGGTACACAAGTGGTTAAACAGCTCGAAGGAGGAAGCACCGACTCTGCCTAGGAGACTTGAAAATGCCTTTAAGATCTTCTGTTCAGAAACAAGATCTACAGGCATCAAGGGAAAAAAAAATAAGAAATAAATTAAAATAATTTAAAAAAAAATCTTCTAGAGCCGAGGATGGGAGAAGCGTGGGGCGTCTGAGCAGCACACCGGCCTCCTCGCCTCTCTCCGCGCCTCGCTCTCTTTAAAAAAGAAAATAAATTAAAAAAAAAAAAAAAAATCTTCTGATGCTCGTTGAGTCGGAAAAAGAAAACAAACAAAGTAGGGGGAAAAAATGCCTTTAAGATGGGCTAAGAGTTCTCCAAATGAAGATAAGTGCGCATAATGTTCCAGTAGAGCGACAGCACAAGTTACAATCGAAGGTGCTGGGTATATCTGGGGGGCACTGAGGCCCCAGAGTGGCTGGAGTGCCGAGTGCACCACCGGAAGAATGAAATTAAGATAAAGAGGTTGGCGGGGCGGATATCACGCAGAGCCTTGAAAGCTGGGATAAGAAGCGTGGACTTTAGGTTAAGAATCAGGCCAAAGCATTAGTGCAGCAGAAAGCTACGCTAAATTAACCTGGAAAGACAGTGGAGAGAGGTTCGGCTTCGGTGACATAAGCTGGTCGATAAAGGGGCCTGGGGAAGCAGAGAACACTCCCAGAGTTTGGTTTTTCTGGGGTAACGGGACATCCAGCAAGCTATGAGGAAATTTGTTAAAGATATCTCGGAAGGAAGCTCCTTAGACTAAACTGTCGCGCAGACACAGCAGACCCTACCGTCACGCCTCAAGTGTCCTTGTCTCTTCTTTGCCGGCCGCCGCTTCAGGATCACCCGCTCGCAGCCCGGACGCCTGCCGCAAAAGGTGCTCGCAGCACGACGTTTGCAGCACAACGCCGGAAGTCAACCTTCCCTTGCCGTCGCGCCCCGGAAACTATAGTAACCAAGGTCTGCGCCTGCGCACCCGTCTGCCTTGGCTTCCGGAGACTTTGAGACTAAGCTGACCTTCCCTAGGCGACCGCTTTAGAGAAGGTCCGGAGCCATTAGTGAGTTCACGCTTCTTCCTGGCCGTGTGCCTAGCACTCTTTTCTTTTTTTATTTTAGCGTATTATGGGGGTACAAGTGTTAAGGTTACATATATTGCCCATGCCCCCCTCCCCCCAAGCCTAGCACTCTAATAACAGCTGTTAACAGAAAAAAAAAATCCAAACTCTGTAAAATAATTTTAAAGAGATTTATTCTGAGCCAAATTTGAGGACCATGACCCGGAGCCACTGCCAAGAGGCCTTGGGCAAGTGGACTCGCTGTGGCTGGGTTACAGTTTGGTTTTTATACATTTTAGAGACAAGGGTTATGAGCCATCAATCAATGTGTGGGAGGTATACATTGGTTTGGCCCAAAAAGGAGGGCCATCTCGAAGCGGGGGCTTACAGGTTATAGGTGGGTTTAAAGATTCTTTAGATTGTAATTGGCTAAAGACATGAAGCTTTGTCTAAAGAGGTGGAATGTTTTAACATAAACTGTTTACCAGAGGTAAGCCACCATTTGTTGCAAATAGAAGGCCTGCAGGTTTGTCTTGCATACCCTCAGGCCTATTAATGGGTTACAAAGGAAGTCTCCAAGAAGGGAGGGGGGCATGATAAGGCCTGTCTGACCTCCCTCCTCCTGGCAGGCAACTTTGCCCTTGAATATTCCTCTGGCCACGAGGGGGTCCATTCAGTCAGCCGGTAGGGGTTGAGGATTTTAGTTCACACAGCTGATTGGTGAGAGACTTGACCAAGGCCACACGAGAGAAAGAACATTAGCTGCTCCCTACCCCCAGTAGTGGTTAAGCACATGGACTGTGAACCCAAACCACGTGGGTTAAATGTGGGCTCCCCCACTTCTGTGTGACCCTGGGGAAGTTTCTTAACTTCCCTGTGCCTTAGTTTCCTCATTTTTTTTTGAGACAGACTCACACTTTGTTGCCTGGGCTAGAATGCCTGACGTCAGCCTAGCTCACAGCAACCTCAAACTCCTGGGCTCAAAGGATCCTTTTGCCTCAGCCCCCTGAGTAGCTGGGACTATAGACATACGCCACTATGTCCGGCTTATTTTTTCTATCTATTTTTAGTTGGCCAATTAATTTGTTTCTATGTTTAGTAGAGATGGGGAGGGGTCTCACTCTTGCTGAGGCTGGTCTAGAATTCCTGACCTTGAGCCATCCGCCCGCCTTGGCCTCCCAGAATATTAGGATTACAGGCGTGAGCCACCGTGCCCGGGCACCAGTTTCCTCATTTATTAAGAGAAGATAGGCCTGGCGCGGTGGCTCACGCCAGGTCAGGAGTTCAAAACCAGCCTGAGCAAGAGTGAGCCCCCCCCCCCGCCTTCACTATAAATAGAAATTAGTTGGCCAACTAATATATATAGAAAAAATCAACTGGGCATGGTGGCGCATGCCTGTAGTCCCAGCCACTTGGGAGAGTGAGGCAGGAGGATTGATTGAGCCCAGGAGTTTGAGGTTGCTGTGAGTTAGGCTGATGCCAAGGCACTCACTCTAGCCTGGGCAACAAAGCGAGACTGTCTCAAAAAAAAGAGAAGATAATAGTACCTATGGTGTAGGGTTGATAAAGGGATTAAATGACATATATATAAAGCACTGAAGGCAGGGGCTGGCACATGGAAAGCACTCCAAGGCAGTCGCAGTTCTTTGATGTCTCAGCTTATAAAGTTTGAGGATCCACTGCCTTCATGCCCGGCACCTGTTCCAGAACCTCCAGTGACTCCCTTTGACTACATCAAAGCCTCAGAAGTGCCCTGTGGAGGAGGGGAGTAGAAGGGGGGGGCGAGCAACAGGGTGTATGTAATAAGATTCACTGGGGATGTGGGAAGAAAATACTAGAATATTTACATCTTTTTGTCTAATCCTTTAAAATTTCTCTGTTGTGTAATTTTTTCTTAAATGAATAACATTGCAGTTATACACATAAATAACTTATAAATAAATACTTGTTTGGGCTGAACATTTTTTTTTTTAAGTGATGTACTATCAAAAAATGTTTAGAGTCTGGCACTGTGGCTCACTCCTGCAATCCTAGCACTTTGGGAGGATGAGGCGGAAGGATTGCTGGAGCCCAGGAGTTTGAGGTTGCAGTGAACTATGATTATGCCATTGCACTCTAACCTGGGTGACAAAAGTGAAAATAATGTTTATAAGTCGGGCCCTTCTCGCTTTTCCAGCCTCATTGCCCAAAATCCCCTGCCTAATGGCTTGCTGTTCCAATATATTCCAGGAAAAGTCTTGCAGTCTGGTCTCTTTGCCCTTTGATTCATTTCCCCAGAAATGACACTACCTTTACCCCCATTTTGCATGCCCAATTTCTGCTGTGCCTCAGGACTTTTGCATACGGTTTCACCCCAAATAGATTAACTGTCTCAAAGCCGAGGACCACACACTCTAGAGAAAACTGCTAAGGTCTCACAACTTAATGGTTTTATTCAAGCATTCCAATTTTCCCCTGCCCCGACCCCAGCAGATATATACTCCACCTGAAATCAGAGTTTCAATTCAATTAGAATTTCCTAAACACCTGTCTGCCTTGGCCTCCTAATGTATGCCCAGCAGAATACTGGAGGATTATGAAATTGGCAAGTCATGACCCTTGCCCACAAAACACCAGTGGCAAGGTATCATCACCCTTTCCAAACCTGCAGGCCAGGAGCAGTGGCTCACACCTGTAATCCTAGCACTCTGGGAGGCCGAGGCAGGAGGATCCCTTGAGGTCAGGAGTTTGAGACCGATCCCTCCTCACCCCCTTTCTTATTTGTGGGTAGTATCATCTTCCAAGCGGCTTAGGAAACTGGAGTAGTATATCACCTTTGCTCCTTCTTTCATCTAATATTTAATTATGGTCCAAATTCTGTCAAATATTCTGATTTATCCCTTCCTGTCTGCCAGGTCCTCAAGTCAATATCTTGCATGACTGGTCATCCTAAAACACAGATTTCATTGTATCACTTAGAGATACTATGCAGGATTAGTACAAAGATGGGCAACTCAAATGCCTCCAGAGCCAAACACAGCCTACTATCAGGAAATGACAACAAAATACTATGATAAATGGGGACTGATACTTGCCCTCAGTTTGAGGGATGGAAGGAGTGGTAGGAAACATGACAAGCTGGAGAGCATATGTTCGGTCTAAAGGCAGCAGCTCAGCCCCATCTTACGAGAGAAACGGGGGCCCAAATTGTCAAATCTTCAGATTTTTCAAGGAAGAGAAATCTGTTATCGTTTAAATGTGAAACCTCCCACTTTAAAATGTGGGGCAACTGATTTTTAAAAATTGCTGGCCAAACAAAACCCAGATAGGAAATTGCCTTTGGGCTTCCAGATCCCAAAACTTAGATTTGGGTAAAATGGAGGCAGGCAAAGGAATTTACTTTTGTCTCTGATGGCTTTTTTGCATCCAGTCTTGTTCCTTTCTCATTCACTCTTGTATTGTTGCCAGTTTTCTAAACTCAAATCTGATCATTCAAAAAACACTTCCATGGCCCTTGTTGGGCTCTTGACATGAAGACACAATGAGAATGTTGTGGCAAGTGACCTGTTATAGAAAGATGAACAAAACACAAGCCATCCATTCTGCCTGGGCTGTGTTTGAGGTATCAATGTTTCAAGAAAAGGTAAAATTTTGGGGGTTTGGCATTGAAGACCCCTCATCCATTTCTAAATCCTCAGATTCCCCTGCTTACCACTCCCACTCAAACTTGTGTTCTCAGCCATCCAGAATTGCTCTCAGGCTTCCAAGCTTTGTAAGGAACAGTTTCTTCTGATTACAGTGATCCCACCCACTGGCTGCCAACCTCCCACTGTCTCCCAGGCAAATGCCTAATCCGTCCAGATCCAGTTTATTGTGTGTAAAAGAAAATAAAAATCTTAGGATCACCCCTCCAACTCCTTATTCAAAAGGGAAGGAAACGACTCAGGCAACTATGAAGGATTGGCCCTACAGATCATTCATAAAGGAATTCCTTGTTGGCCTCTCATAAGCAAGGACATGCAAATTCTAACTTTAGGTCTGTTGGCTAAGTCTCGTTCCTAAAACTAGTCTGTTTTAGATTCCACGCTAATAATGAATTGTAAGTTTATCTTCTTAGGTGCAGAAGAGAGGTAAGACAGGATCAAACATTCTTCCACCTACCCAACGACATCTATATAACTGATGCTCTCTTCACTTTTTTATTCTAACATTCACCCTATGTCAAATATAGATTTTCCTGGCAACACAAGAATGTAACCATTTTGTCTCACTACCCACCCACCCGCTGCTTTTTTCCCCCCATATGGTCTATCCTCCTCTACTGAAGCTCCCAAATTCCCCCTAAGAAAAACAGCTACAGATTTGTCTGTGGTTTGTTTTTTCCAGGCCATGTCCTCAACTTTGGCTTCATAAACCTGTTGATTATTTGCCTCACCTCACTTATTTTAGGTTGTCACACATCGTTTTCTGTTGAGGAATTTCTAGGCCTTTCTTGAAGTCCTGCCAGCCCTGTAAAAGTCTATTATAGAACTTGTTAAATATTGATATGCCACCCCCCTCCACTGGAGCATGCACACAGCCATGTCAGCTTGAGTGTGCTAGGATGTCGGCAGTATGTCTTCCTCTATGGCAAAGACTGGAAAATGACAACTACCAAAATGTCCATGCTAGAACTGAGCTTGTGCGTTGCTATGGTGCCCACAGGAAGCTGACTAGATTTGGATGCTCCTTAGCCACCAGGGACCTAAACTTCTACTGAGCCCTTCCCACTCTCCCCTCCTTTACCTTTTCTTTGCCTTGCTCTGCGTATCCTTTGCTTTGTGGGAGTTATGTTCTTATAACAAAATCAAGGGGCTTTATGTGT